ACTGTAGTCTCAAGTCAAAGGGAGTCTTTGTTAAATGATGCTAAAATGGCAAATATGGTGGCTCCCACCTATTGGAAGTGTGGTTTCATTTTCCATGGTTTCATTTACCTGACACTGAAAAATATTATATAGAATAAGATATTTAGAGAGAGAGAGATCTTAGTGATACAATTTTATTTCATTATTTTGCTATAATTTTCCATTTTATTGTTAGTCATTATCATTAATCTCTTACTGTACCTAATTTATACTTTAAATTTTGTCATGGTTATATCAAGATAGACAAAAAAATAGTGTATATAGAGCTTGGCAGTACCTGCAGTTGCAGGCATCCATTGGGGGTTTTGAAACAGATCTATTTTGGACAAGTGGGGGACCACTGTAATAACAGACATGTACTAAGCTCTTGCTATATGCCAGCTATGGTCCTTAGTTGGTGCCAGGAGAAGGGTGGCTGTGGGGTCTGGGTACCATGTGTTGGGCACAGTGCCATGGTCAGGAGTACAGGCGCCAGGATCTGACCTGGTCGGAATCCCGCTCTATCGACTGGCTACAAAACCCCGTGCAAAGTGCTCCCCCAACCCAGGGCTCGCCTGTGCGAACAGGAGAAATAAGAGGGCTCATTTGACAGGGTTGCTGTGATTGAATCATGCTGCCTCCACAGTCTCAGCAGTCAAATTAATAATGCCAGTAACGTCACAGTCATCATCAATATATCCAGGTAAATAGAAATAGGACATTCCCCAGACTGGTGCCCAGGGACTGACTGGCCTTTGAATCATGCTCTTCATGGAAGTCAGCCCTGGAGAGACTTACCCACCTCTAATCATGCTCTGTTCTGTCAACACTGGCCCAGGGCCATGCGTGGCGAGAGGAGGAAAGGGAAGGGAGTTCAGAAGCTGATGAGTAAGAGACGAGGATAAGAATAGGCCAGTGAGGAACAGGAGAGGCCGTGATGTCCTTGACGGTGGACACAGCCTAGCGCTGTGGATCAGAACACGCTGCTGCCTTGTTCTAGCCCTTGACCCTGAGCAGTCACACACCCCATGCAGGCTTCTGTCTAGAACTCGTGGGGAGAGATCAAGGCAACTCTGTGATCATTATTTTTTTCCTGTTACCTCTTTAAAGTTTCAGTTGGAGGAGGTCATTACCCTGGCATGAGATAAGACCTCAGGCAGGCACCATTACCTTCCTTTTCACTCCATTAAAAACAAACTTCTGGGCTTTCAGAGGCATAAACGAATCTCACTTCCAAAATTAGAATGTGCCATCTGAGAGGTTAATCAATACCACAGACTTTTATTGAAGGTAGGTCTTTCCCCTCCCCTGCACCTACTGCAGTGGGCTGCTTACCTTCGGGGAGAGGGGAATAGAGACTGCCTCTCCCAACGTGCAGTCAGGTAGAGGAGACAGGGTGGGGGAGCAAAGCACCCACGTGAATGTTAGAAGCACAGGACAGTGTGCACCCCCGCGGGACAACGGGCTGAGAGCCCCCAGTTTGGGGCAACTCCACTAGCCCCTTCACACCCCTGGAATCTGGGAAGGCCCCTCAGCCTCTGTCTGGTAAGGGATCATCCTGTGAGCCAATAGCTAAGCTGATGCCTTGGTCAACACACTCACGTGCTCCAAAAAAGGATCCATAAAGAACTTTCATACTCTTTACCAGAACAAACAGGAAAGTTGGTGTCTGCTTCTCAGCCCACGCTCTCCCCCTGACTGCTCAGGAGCGGATTCTTCTCTCCAACTTTCTGTCATCCAACTCTTCCACAGCATAATCTTCCACAGTAGCTAGAAGAAACCGCTCTCACCGGATTGGAGGTGCAGGAACAGGTTAAAAACCCCATCGTGTGTGTGTGTGTGTGTGTGTGTGTGTGTGTGTGTGTGTGTGTTGGGAAGTGGAAAACAGCATAGCATTTGCACACACATACACACACACACACACGTCTTCATGAAATCCTCTCTTAATACCTATAGATTCTTTCATATCTTCTTTGTGGGTTAGGGACTCGTAAAAGCAGAGGGATTCTTTGTGACACTCATGCTAAGGTGGCTGTGAAAATCTACATCTTGGTCTGGTAAGTTGATTTGCAATTTCATTTCGATTCTATCTCAGTGTCTCACCATCATTTCCTGTTTTTTAATTTACATTATTTTTATTGTAATTCATGAAGTTTGGACTTCACATTTATTCTTTTATTCATGTTTGGCCAAATCCATTTTTTATTTTTAAATCACATTTTATTGATTTGTCATTCCCTGACATAACTATATAATTGTGGAAGTGCAACTTCACATGCTGCCCTCACCCTCCACCAGAGCTCCAGCACCATTGCCCCACCACATTACCCCCTCCATCCCTGCTGGTAACCACCATATTCTTCATAGCCAAGGAGATATTTTTGTTATCTTTTGCCAGGTTCATTTTTTATTATTATTTATTTGCTACAAATGAGTAAAACCATCCATCTCTTTTTCTGACTTCTTTCACTTAACATAATCACCTCAAGATCCATCCATTTTGTCCCAAAAGGCACTATTTCATCTTTTTTCATAGCTAAGTAGTATTCCATCTATATCACAATTTCTTTCTTCAGTCATCTTTCAATGGGCATTTTGGTTGATTCCTGTCTTGGCTATTGTTAATAATCCTGCCATAAACATAGGGGTACCTATGTCTTTTCATGGGTAAATGATAAATTCTGTTAAGCATTTTTTTCATATGCCTGTAGGCAAATTATATGTCTATGTCTTTGGAGAAGTATCTACCTAGATCATTTTTTGATTGGTTTGTTTTGTTGTTGTGTGAGTTCCTTATACATTTTGTATATTAGCCCCTAACTGTGATGTGCAAATATCTCTTCCCAGGCTATAGGTTGCATTTTTGTTTTTGTGGTGCTTTCAATTGCTGGGCAAGTTTTGGTATTTGATATAGTCCCATCTGTTTATATTTTGCTTTTGTTTCCCTTGCAATGCAGTTGCATCTCTGTAATTCCTGACTGTAATTAATCTCTATAATTCATAACAAGAGTGGTGTATCACTTATCTTTTATGTATTTTATGGATTTGGGTCTCATATCCAAGTATTTTATTTTGAATTAATTTTTGTATACAGAATTCAAAATGATCTAGTTTCCTTTTTTTTGCATATGGCAGCTAAGTTTCATGATACCATACCAAAGGCTTTCCTCTCTCCACTGGCTCCTTTATGGATTAATTGTCTGTATTTGTATGGGTTTATTTCTGAGCTGGGTTCTCTATTCTATTCCATTGGTCTGTGTTTCTGTTTTTGTTCCAATGCCATACTGTTTTGATTATTATCACTTTGTAGCATACTTTGAAATCAGGAAGCATGATACCTCCAGTTTTCTTCTTTTGGAAATCTTCATAGTATTGTTTGTTCTATTTTTTTTTAGATATATATTTTTAAAGATTTATTTATTTTGTAGAAGAACTGCAGTGTAGGCGAGAGGTGTGGAAGGTAAGAGGATTCACCAGAGATAGCATGGGGAGCAGGACAGGTGGTTCTACTGAAATACACTGCTAAGGGGAGCAGCAGGCAAGACAGGAGAGGTCTGCTGTGCCATATGTGGGTTAGCTCCCTGGCCAGGGCTCAAACTCATGTTGTATTGGTGATAGCACTGAAACTTAACCCCTGGGCCATCAGGGAAGTCCTATGTGTTCTATTTCCTTGAAAAATGTTTTTGGGATTTTGTTAGGGATTGCATCAAGTCTGTAAATTTATTTAAGTAATATGGTCATTTTAACAATGTTTAATTTTCCAGCTCATGACCACTCACAGTAATTTCCTAATTTACCATCTTGTTGCATGTAAAGTAGGGATATTGTTCATACTTAGCTTTGTGGGTTTTTAGGAGATACAATAACATAATTAATGCTTTTGAAGTAGTCAGCCGGGAGCCTGACAGAAAGACCTCAGAAGCATGCTGATATTATCCACTCTAAATCCCTGGCACCTAGCTGCAGAGATGACACACTGGAAGTGTTCAATAAGTGTTAACAAATGATTTGTCAATAACTAAAGGTATTTCAAAGCAGAATGAAATAAGTGCTAAATAAGTGTACACGCTCTGTATCATGGCAACCAAGTGAAATGGCAGATAATTCCGACTGGTTCACAAGAGGAAGCTTTAGAGAGCAGGGGACTTGGGATTTCAGGAAGCAAGAAATAGAGCCATTGAACAAATATGTGGAAACTGGATTTTTCTGGAAGAATCTGGGAGAGATGGGAGCACAGGAGGGCTCTCATTTGTGGGTTGTTAGTTTGGCCACATTGTGTTTTGTTATGGGCCAACCTCCCTCCATTAGGGATCTTTCAGCTGCAGGTGATAGGAAATCATCTTGTCTGGCCCTCTAGAGAAAGCAAGGTGGCTACTCCCCAAAGCTACAGCCTCCAGTACAAATCCAGAGGGAAGTCTGCACCCAGCATTCCCAGTGAAGTCAGAGATCCATTGTGACTGGTCCCATCTAGGTCCCAGAGCTGTGTCTGCACAATTGTGTTGGTAGGGTGTTATGGGCTCCAGCGGCAGCAGGCTGCAAAACCAAGATATGTCCTCCAATCATTGCATGTAGCCCACAAGAGACCAGGCTGTGTTACTAAACAGCCTGACTTCCAACTGACTGGCCACGTCACCTCAAGCAAGGCACATAATCTCTCATGCCTCAGTTTCCTCCTCTATAGACTAGAGATAACGGTTTCTATCTCATAGCACTTTGGGGATAGATTAAATGAGTTTTTACAAAGCGCTTAGTCCAGTGCCAGGAACTGCCCGATCCATGCTGAATCAGTGGCAGCTCTTGGTGTTATTCTAGGGAATTGATTTGTTCGCCCCATGGCTTGATGTTTATTCATAGATATTCCTGGTGTTTCCGCCCACCTCGTCTGTCATGGTGATGCGATCACCCACCTCTCACACACCCCTCAGTGTGACTCAGAGCAGAGCACATGAGGACTGGCGCGTCATAAAGATCACCATGCTTAGAGAGGATCCTTTTCATTCATGGCTCAGAGTCGGCCATGGAAACCCTAGTCATCCCTGTGCCTGGCAGCCCAGGGGAAACCAAGAGGAAATCCTATCTCTGGGTGTCTTCCCTTAGGGAGTTTGCGATCTAATCTAATAGACCAGAACACTCTGTCAAATACAGCCTGAACCAGGATCTATCCCCAGAGGGACTGCCAAACTGCCCTGCCAGAGTGTTGATAGAGGAACACCCTCCCTCTCCAACTCCTTGGTTATAATGTGAGTGAGCGTTTAGAACAAGAGATGAAGACGGAATCCAGCTGAATCCCAACTCTGACTCACCCTCTCCTGGACCACACTTGAAAAGAAAAAGTACAAGCCTTCCCCACGTAGTACCAGCAGGGTAACCCGAGAACGTCCCTGGAGCGCATCTGTCCCTGCAAAAAGGACCTTTCAGTGACACTGAGATGAGTGTATCCCGCTCTATTTATAGGAGCTGTTTGTTTAATTCGAGTCCGGTCTCTAAGAATAAATAATGAACTCATCCTGGGGACAAGCCAGAGACTACAACTCTGAGACAACCCATAAATCCCTTCCCCTTCCCTGCTGGTTCTGGAAGGGATTCTATAGTTCAAAGGTGAGCCGCGTTTCTCTCCTGGGCTGGGGTGGGCTTGAGACCCACGCTTGCTTGGAGATTTGGTTCTGCGACGGCCTTTCAGGATGGTTTGGGAACTGTTTTGGTGTTTGATTGTGAATTGGTGATTGAAGACTAGACTTTGGACCTCTCCGTCACCCCCAAAGGAGAACAAAGACCAAGTATCTTGAGCCCTTGGTTGGTTAAACTTCAGGTGCAAAGACTCCCAGTAGGACTCAGATAAGCCTCAGTGAGGAGGATGCAGCAGTGCAGAAGAAAAATCCCTTTCTTTCTGGTACCTTCCGAACCTGGTAGCAGAGACTGGACCCGGGCTATCTCCTAAGGTATAGTACCATTCCTCAGTTGCTTTTTCTGGGTGTGTGATGATGGCCAGGGACCATAAGCCACTTACACTTCAGGCATCTCAGCCCAGAAGGCTGGTGCAACAGTCCAGGGGGCCGTGGTTCCTGCTCCAAGCTTCACCCTGGTTGATCCGTGGGTTCAGTGATGCCTATCAGCAGACCCCTGACTCTGAAGGGGATGTTCTCCGTGGACACTCTGGGTTTGGCTCAGTATATTTGCATATGGTGGCTTCCCCCTTTCCAGGAATTTATCTTTTTTTTTTTTTTTGAGAGGCAGCTTTCTATTTTCATTGAAAATGTTTGTATGATATTTTCATGGTTTTGTTTTTTTCTCATTTTTTTATTTTAACATTTATCATTTTTTACATTTTTTAGACAATATTTGCTTCCCCCCACCCCCTCAGATGGAGTCCCCGTAGAATTTCCTTCCCCAAGGCACCCATACACCATCACCACAGTCCCCTGTGCTCCTCTCTCCCTCCCTCTGATCCCTCTCCCGCCTCCTCCCCTGCAGGAGGTCTCTGGTTTATAATTGTCTGGTTTTGCTTTGTTGTGTTTTGTACTGTTATTACTATTATTTTTTTACACTGATGTCTTATTTGGTTCCCCTATATTCCTGCTATAAGTGAAACCATCGATATTTTTCTTTTTCCTTCTGGTTTATTTCACTGAGCATAATTCCTTCTGGTTCCATCCATGTTGCTGCGAATGGCATGAGTTTGTCTTTTTTGATTGCTGAATGATATTCCATGGTTATATATACCACATCTTCTTGATCCAGTCATCTATTTTTGGGCATTTGGGTTGTTTCCAGGTTTTACCTATTGCAAATAGTGCTGCAATAAACATAGGTGTACAGGTGCTCTTTTGAATCACTGTTTTTGTGTCCTTTGGGTAGATCCCGAGTAGTGGAATTGCCAGATTGGATGATAGCTCCATTTTTAGTAGACTGAGGAACCTCCAGTCATCTTTCCACAGTGGTTGGACCAGTTTGCACTCCCACCAGCAATGTAGGAGAGTTCCTTTTTCATCCTCGCCAACATTTGTTGTTGCTTCTTTATTTGATATGTGCCATTCTCACTGGTGTAAGGTGGTATCTCAGTGTGGTTTTGATTTGCATTTCCCTGATTATAAGGGATGTTGAACATTTTTTCAAATGCCTCTTGGCCATTTGCTTGTCTTTTGAGTTCTTCTGCCCATTTCTTGACTGGATTGTTTATTTTGTTTTTGTTGAGCCGTGTGAGTTTTTCGTATATCATTGTGATCAGTCCCTTATCAGTTGGATGGGAAAACTGGACCTCCACATGCAAAAAAATGAAACTAGATCACTACCTCTCACAGTGCACAAAAATCAACTCAAAATGGATAAAGAACTGGACATAAGACCTGAAACCATAAAATATATAGAAGAAAATATAGGTAAAACACTAAAGACATACATCTCAGTAACGTCTTTAAAGACTCATCACCCAAAGCAGTGATAGTGAAGGCAAAGATAAACACCTGGGATTACATCAAACTGAAAAGCTTCTGCACAGCAAAAGAGACATTAACCAAAACAGAGAGACACCCCACTGATTGGGAAAAAATCTTTGCCCTTCCAGGAATTTATCCTTAAGAAGGGAGCCAGGTTTCTCCGGAAGGGCGAGAACAGGCCCATTCATTTTCTATCCTTCCAATATCTGCTGGCCTTCTACTCGAGGCCAGATGCTATTCTCAGCACAGGAGATGGTTTGATGAGGAGGACGGAGGGGGCATGTGGCGACAAGGGGTGATTTCTATTGGAAATCCAGCCTCTGCTCTCTTCCAGCTGAGGCAGGCGGGCTGTGCGATGCTTTCCCAGCAGACTTGAAGCTCCATTCATTTATCCTTTCTGCCATTCAGAACGCGCTTAGGAGGCACTGTCTCCATGGTGGGCGCAGGGCTGGGTGACAAAGCAACAGTGAGCTAAGGAGATCTGAGCTTGCTCTTAAGAAGGTGGCACCCAGGAGGGAAGATAAACAGATATTACCACAATGGGGAGTCCCACAGAGCAAAGGTCAGGGTGTCACGTGACAGCCTGAGAGCCAGCTCAGCAGGCTGGGTGAGCAGAGAATTAGTAACACAGAGCACACACCTGAGTTACCTTGCCAGGCGGGCTGGCTGTGACGCAGACACAACTGATCATGCTCCTAATTGCGCTCCTGAGCGTTGAAGCTACATTGTGTTCCGTAAATAATAAAAATGCACAGAGGGAAATCCCACTCCAATGTGGCCATGCAAAACCTACAATGCAACTGAAAAGTTAAATAGGAAAAATTTCTGATTACCCCCCTGCAGGCTTTCTAACGATGGCTTAAAATCCCAAGTTTTTCAGTAGAAGTGTGACCTTGAGTTTTCAATAGTGGGGCTGGACCATCCACACGCCCACCTGACCATCATCAGGACACACAGTAGGTCTCGTTGCCTTGGAAGGGTTCATGTCCACAGAAAGCACGACTCTTCCGTCTAAGTCGTCTGCAGGCTGCATACCGGGTCTGCACGGGGTGGGGTGAGATATTCTTCCTCTTCTCAGACATTAGTCTCACTCTGCCTCATGGAAAGGCACTCGCAAGATCGTCACCACAAGTTGTCTTCATCCTTTTACTTGTGAATGGTGGTCTTGTCACCAGACTCAGAGAGCTGGAAAGGAAGAAGGTCCCAAGCCCCCTCAGCCATGTCGCACCTCCAGGTGTTCACCTGCGTGGGCTCTGGAAAGGGGCTTCCTTCAGGACACAGTCAGAGCCGCCAGGCATCTTTCTGTACCAATGTGGATGCACCATTGGGCCAATCCCATCAGACAGAACTTCAATTTCCTCACTTGAAAAATAATATTGCATTTGGTCTATTTTATGCCCGATGTTTTGGTGGACACCAAGCTAAAGCCGAGGAAAACGTAAGTTAATCCACCCTGTAAAAGTTTACATGGCCATTCAGAAAAGAATTTTCATTCATCAATCCAACAAGTGTTTGTGGAGCACCTACCAGGAGTCAGCCATAGAGCCAGGCATCGGCGGGTGCGCAGGTCGAGCTGGCTCCATGGGTGGCCTCCAGCAGGAGAGGCAGAGTCACACCATCAGGGCACTGGGTAACTTCAGGTGGGTGTGCATGCCGGGCTGCTCAGAGGAGACTTCTCAGAAGCCCTGAATGATGAGTCGAAGCATTCTAGATGGAGTGGAAACAGCAAGTGGGGAGACTGCAGCAGAAAGGCGATTGGCGCGTTTAAGGAATAAGGAGCTGGTGTGGTTAAATGTGTAATGAGGGTTGGGTGAGAGGTGAGCCAGGATGCAGGGTGTGAGTTTTACTTGAGTGTGGAGGAAACCTTTGCCAGTCATCAGATGGCGTTTCAACCTGTTCCTGTCTACCTACCTGGCTACATTCTGTGGCTTCAGTGAAATGTGGGGAATGACAGAACTGGGAGTCTTAGAACTCAGAACCCTAGGGAAACTTAGAGATCCAAAGAGAAGAAATTGGTGTTGGCCTGTTTCTGGATAAAAAAGAACAGTTTCCCCTCCTCTTCTCTCAGGGGTTTTCCCTGAATAAATCACTGAACAGCCTCCTAACTGGTGCTCAGCATCTATTCCATCAGATCTCCTTAGGGGAACCACCACTTCCCTGTTCTTGGGAACCTGGTTTGGCTCAAGCTACTCAGAAAGTTTTGCCTCCCATTCTGTACCAAAGCAATTGGCTCAGGGATGGGCACTGACCATGGTCAGAGCCAACAAAACACAAGAAGACATTCTTGGGATCTTCTGACAAAAGGAAGTTTCCCCTCTCTTCCTTGGGAGTCACCAGTATGAGGATATAAGGTCTAGAACCACTGTATGCATGTGTGACCATGGGGGAAGATTCTGGAACTGTTAAAGGTTGTAAAGCAGTGCAACATGATGCCTGGAATTGAAGCCAATGCCCCAGAAAGCAGAACTGAGAGATGGAAAGAACCAGGTCCTTGTGATGGTACCCAGCTCCTGGATCAAACCTCACCTGAAGCCTGACCTATTGCTAGGCTTTTAGTGGTCTCTGCCAATTAAATGTTCTTTAGAATATAACTCAATTTAAGTAGGGTTTTCTGAATCTTGCAACATAAAGATCCCATATGATGCAAACCTTTTAATAGGTACCCGACAATGCCAAGGGCCTCCTCTGCACCCTGGGGCCTCTTAGGAGGAAGTGAGCCTGTTCCAGAACCCAAATAAAAGGTCTCGCCTCCCACTTCTCTATTTCAGGGTTTCCATGCCTCCCGTCACCATAGCGCTGTGACTCTCTTGGAAAGGCAGAGGAACCAGAGAAAGACAGGGCCTGTTTCCAGGCTGTGTTGCCACGTTTAATGGGGGGGGGGGGGGGAGGTTGGTGAGAGAAAAAGGCGGCTCCAGGCTTGACATTTCAGGATAGAGATAACAGGGTAAAAATAAACCCCCTAGCGCCTGTAGCCGAACTCACTTCTCTCGCTTCACAGTTCTTATCTCTCCCAGCTTTGGGGACAGAAAGGTTCCTTTCAGGTCACTGCTGGGCCTGCATCCCTCCAGCCCAGAGTGGGGTGAAGGAGGTATAGGTAGCCCCTGCCTGACCATCCCCCACCCCCCCACAAAAATGTCCAGTGATTCCCTCCATCCTACAACCTGCTTTTTATGTTGCACACAATCTTTCCATCTTCATCCTCATTTGATGCGTAATAACTGCATGTGCTGAGCCAGGCCGGGGCTGGGGATCCATGTGTCTACATGGGCGTAGAGTGGGGCTCAGACGGGAGGAACGCGTGGTGAGCCCAGCGCTGATGAGTACTAACGCCTTTGGGTCTACACCCTTTGGCTCGACCTGGGTGATCCTCTTCCTGCAGGCTCTTGTATAGCCAGCAGCTGGGGCCCCTGATGCTGGGGAAGCGGTTACCTCACCTGCCACGGGAGCAGCGTCCGCCTCTTTTGCTCCCTTCCCAGCACACATCCTCAGCATGCGTGCGCGCCAGT